CTGCAATGAGCTGCATCAAACACGTTTTTGTTGGATTTATCATCAGTCAACCAGGCATTTCTACTCATTCTCTAACAGTAACCTTATCCATCTCTGTCCTCCTCCTCCTCAAATAGTTTTCCAACTGCAAACCTTACTGGCAAGGTTTTAATAGTACCATCTGCATGGGGTGATACAGATACTAAACAAGACAGCAATGGAAACAGATCCCTGGGGAAACTGACAATAGAAATAGTCTTGATCACAGCTATCACCCATGTAACTACCACTTTTTACTATGTATCATTAAAGAGGTTTTTAATCCCTCTAATGTGTGTTGTGCTTGAGATAAGTATTATTTTTCTTAAAAACTGGTCACTTGGAGAAATTAAATTGGTTGAGCAAGGTTTCGTTCTATCAGTATTGCTTTGTACAATCTTGTCAAAATAGACAAGACAGCATTTGTCTGCAAAGATGTATATTACAAAGTTTTGCTAAAGAGACACTAACATGTTTCTTCATACTCAAATATGAAGAAATAGTCTAATATTCTTCTTTAAAGTGTTCCAAAGTTATTTTTATCTTGGATCAACATACAGATAGACAGTTCTAAGCTCTTTGGATTGTCCCTTTCAGGTTTTGTCGATAGTGAATCGTGGTGGGCAGTGTTCCAACCTTCTGCAACTCCCCTAGCTTACAAGAATTGGCCAAAAATTAGTACCAATGAATAATGAAGCTCCTTGCTTTGGCTATTATTGTTGGACATACCTTATTTAAAAACCAGCAGATCTAGATATAAGTGAGCACTGTCTCATCCTCCTCTGTTATTAATTATGTAGAAAAACCAGATGAGGTAAAAATAGCCCCTCTTAAATTCTACACACAATCAGTTGGGGGTTGGTTTTGCCCTGTCTGGTTTTTTGTTTTGCTGTTTTTAGTGGGGTTTTTCCCCAAAAAATACACAACTACCTCCTGATTTTATACTGTACCCATACAGAGATATTTTATCTTTGCATGTAAAAAACCTCATGGGTCCTCTGAACTTAGGTCACCAGTATCTCCACGACTAGCACATTTCCTTTCTCACCTGCTTCTTTACTTAAGTTTGCACCTATATTCATGGCTATTTACTTCCTCCTCCTCGCCTCAAGTGCAGAATGCTTTGAGTTTTATTACCACAGTTTCAGCGACTGTGGAATCATGCATTCTTGGCCATCAGTATGATGCTGCTGAATACTTTATGGCTTCCATTAATACTTCCCTTTTAAAGGTACCTTCCTGGGCAGTTATCCTGCCAATTGTTTAAACTCCAAGAAACAGACTATTGTAAAGCTCCTTACAGTGCTGCCTGATGCCATATTCTGTTTGCACAAAGCAAATACAGACAAATAACAATCACCGGTACCTAGGCAACGGTGGGATTTCAGGTCAGCTATTAACTCTTCTTTATCTGCAAGAACAAGGTCAACTATTGATTTATTCCACAGTGGGTGCAGAACTGTGTGCATTAAAAAACTACCAACTCATTCTAGAAGCTTTCTGGAAGTCTTTTCATTGGCCTCATGAAATGTAAAGTAAGTATCGCCTGTTTTAAAGAGACCATATTATTCGCCTACCTGTAAGATGCATATATATAAGGAAATGTTTGGTCTATTCCTGAGGATATCTCAAACACCTGTTAGAAACACAATAGGGCTGAGAGATGGTCAGAACCCAAATAATTTGAATTTGTTACGAAATTCTTACATTTGCAGCTCTGCCAAATGGTGCAGGTTTAGAAAGCATTATGCAATACGTATTTAATCACACATGGGACAACATGTCTCACCTCTACTCAAGTCTGGACAAAAGCATTAGATATTTGCTGTGCCCCAGGACTGGGCTGACCTCTCACATGCTGTTCTATCCTTGAGGGGACTTCTCCCCCTCTTCTTCTTCTTCTCCCACCCTACCATCACATTTATTTCTTCCTCCACGGCTTTGCTGTCTACCCAATTTCTCTCTTTGTACAGTAGCTTGGGAAAATCACTCCAGGCAAGGATTTTGAATCTCTCAGATAAGAAGTTGAGGAGATGTGACCTGACACACAGAAGGGAGAGGGAGAAGATGGGGTTTACAGGCTAGTCACAGCTGAAGACTCAGACAACCACGAGTCCCCTTTAGGAGTAAGGGTAAGTTTCAGTGAGTCATCCAAAGGAAAGCATCCTGATCCTGAAAAAGAAATAGGAGCAAGCAGGATTCAGAGAGCATACTCTCCTGCTAGAGGCTATGAGCATGCTGAGAGAAGCAGCACTGAAAGAAAAAGGAAGATGTGCGAGAATCATTCATTATTTCCTTGGCAAAGTAGCAAAGTTCTCTATTACAGAAAAATGGCACATAGGGTTTTATATGTCCCAGAAGATGAACACTCTGCTGGCAAGTATAACTCTCAGCAACCATAGGGCTAGGTGAACTACCTACAGGTTTTACAAGGAATATATAATTTACCCAGTTAAAATCACATCAATGTGCTGGAACTTGAGATCATGTTTAAAGAAAAAATAAACATCAGAGGAACACCAGAAACCAAGTTATACAGCATTATTCCCCATCCCTCCTATGCCCAAAAAGGGCACCATACAGGCCCAAAAAAGGACAAGAAATCTTAAAGCAAGTAGTTAGGGTGCATTTTCTACAAGTCACTTCTAGGACAGTAGTTCATTTAAACTGCCTGGGTGTCCAAAGCTGCAAAGCATAGGCAAGAGCAACCAGGACAGGTATGTCCTCGTCATTTCCATCTTATCCATGTCTCCTACACCAGGAGCATATGGCAGAAAAGCATCTAGGTGAAAAAGTGTAAAAAGGGCTGGCTGTCAATTAAGCACCAGTCCCAGGAGAAGGGACAGCAATGGGGAACACTTTATGTAAGCGACACAGCTCCCAGGAGAGGGGAGCAGCCATAGCACAGAGCAAGGCATGATAAATACAGATTGTAGCAGGTGGTCCAAGAACTGGCTGTGATTTCAGCAGCCATTTGTCCAAACCGGACGGAACTGCCTACTGCACAGCCATGCAACAGCAAAAAGCAGGCTAGAAAAACCACAAAGCAGAGCAGAAGATTCAGCAATCACAGATTGCCAGGAGATGAGTTTAATTCTGAAAACATTCCCACAGGCATCAAGAGTATAACAATAATCTAAGGTATGAACAACATGGAAGCAAACCCAAGCCTCTTACAACAGAGCCACAGATCCATGGGTTTGGCTATGAATTGGCTCCAAAGGTCATTATTGCATCCCTGCTCACAGCAGGTATAATGAGATCTTTTTGGCTGGGTTGTGTCCAGTCAAGTCAGATACCTTCAACGCACCTGGGCAATGTGTTCCACTATTTCAGCATCCTCACAAAAATCCTAAAATTTTCCCGGTATCTAAATGATAAATCAAAGGCAGAGAGGGCCCTGCAAAGAGATCTAGACAAATCAAGAGACCTGGGCAATCACCAATCATATGAAATTTAACAAGGACAAGTGCCAGATTCTGTACCTGCAATGGGGCAACCTTGGATGTACTGACAGATTGGAGAATGAGATGCTGGAGAACAGTGCTGCAGAAAGGGACTGGGGAGCGTGGTTGATGGAAAGTTGAGTATGATGAAAAGCCTGAAATCCACTCTTGTTGAGTACATTAACATTTCCCTCAGCCCATTTCTTCAGCCTGGCTGAGCCCCTCTGAATAGCAGCCATGTCTTTCTGCATTATGACCACTGTTTTGTTCCTTTTGTACTGTCCAAGCTACAGACAGATAAGCCAAATTCTTCTCTCATTTACAGCATTGAAGTCCATGAATTAGACACATTTACAATACTGCAACACTACAATGCATGCAAGCGTGTGCCTTTGTGCATGCATATACACCCACACAGATGGCTCAGGAGATGCAATAACTGAAACAGAAATACTGCAGAATTTGGAGGAGCAGCTGCTGTAAGTCAGGACCAAGGTATATCCGCCAAGCCTAAGGTGACAAGAGCTTTGGGCTTTCCTGACTTTGATGCTACGGACTTCACCTTAAAAAGGCAGCAGCTCTTAACTTCATAAATAATAATAAATATTTCTGAAGACATTAAAACATGCCATCAACCAAGGATCATATTATAATTATATCAACAAGTCAAATATTCCCTGATGATATGACATATAAATAACTTCACCTATAACTTCACCTGAAGGTTAGGTCATGTGACATTTAACTTGTTTATCCATGTTCACATGGAATGAGTCACCATGTGTAATCACATAAATTCTTCCTCAAAGAGCTTATAAATCATGAATAGCATCCAAGGATCAGTGAAGACAAACTATGTGGTCAAAAGAAACGGAAGTTATATCATACACAATATAAAATACCATCTGACTTGCACTAGCTCTTCCACATGCAATCGCTGCTTGGCAAATTGTCTGCAGCCATTTTCATCAAAGAAATAGATCACGAGGAAAGAAATACTTTTAACATGTTTCTAATGCAACTGAAAAACAGTGCTTTGAAAGTCAGTGTTTAATCCTGGCCTTTACTCAGAAATAAGGTGCAGTTTCATTTTGTTTTGGTTTTTTTTCCCAAACCAATTGTTAGATTACACTGAACATTGCTGCTCCGAGAAGTTGTGGGTTGCCCCAAGCAGTGATGTATGCCCCATCCCTGGAGGTGTTCATAGCCAGGCTGGATTGAGCTCTAAGCACACCTAGTGTAAGATGTACCAGTCCATGGCAGGGGTGTTTGAACTGGATGATCTTTAAGTTCCCTTCCAACCCAAAACATTTTATGGTTCTATGAACATCTTAATAGGAAGAACACCGTTTTAGTTCTCATGTGTATCTACCAGCTAAGTTAAACATACCAATTGTCCTAATCCTGCAAATATATTACAGTGTGCTGACTAAACTGAGGGGGAAGGGCTTTTCATTCACACAAATACACAGTACCAGGTGTCCCACCTGTGGAGAAGGAGAATCTGCCATGCCTGAAGAGGTGCTCATGACTTACCCCAAACATCTGCCGAAGGTCAGGATCTCGAAAGCGGAAGGGAATGTTAGACACATGAAGTCGTTTTGGAGTGGATTTGCTCTCAGTATTCTCACTGCTCTGTGTCTGTGATTGCTGTCCATCTGTCTGTGCCCCTCCTTCTGTCTGCTGAAATCAGAAAAGACAAAAATGTGTGCATGAACAGAAATCACACAATCTTATTTCACATGTCCTGTCTACTTCTACTTAGGTATTAGCACTGCACCTGCAATGGAGCTATCTAGCTACCTGACAATTATTTTGATAAACCCAGTAGCACTTAATCGATCTGCTGTTCTTCCCCTCCCTTTCCATGAGTAAACACTAATGAGATCTCAGCCTCTCTCCCCTCCTATCACCTTCCAGCTTAGTAGATGTGGTTTTGGTTTTCTTAAATTGCTTCTCTCTTTTAGCCCATTCTTCCTCACTTCAGCTGCCACCATATGAAAGCACTAATGAAGAGACAGATCTTTCATATCCTGGAGCTGGGAGGTAGTACCGCCACTCTAATCTCATGTGGCAGGATGTTCATACAATCATCAAAATCCCACAGCTGAAGTGGCAGCTCTTCACTGGGCCAATACCAGAAGTGCATCCCGAGGCAAAATGGCATCTGCTCTGTCAAGCTCCCTTCAGAGAAACATTACCCTAAAAGAAGATCTATAATTAAATGGTAAAATCCATATAGGAACAGCTTACGGATGTCTCTGATTGACTTTTCACATACATTTAAGTGAACCCAGGAACAGGAAACAGTCATTACCACTGCAAGACTTATAAAAACTCCAAGTGCTGCTTTTTGCTACCAATTCCACAGCTAAGAAAGGCAATTTGTTCCACTGTTCTCAAGTACTGACTGGCATGGCAAAGAGAGGTCAAGGGGTACACCAGGGGTACTTGTTCACACAAAAAGTACAAGAAGCAAGCAGAGGAATAACGGAGATCTCTGTGCCAGATGAGAGTCTTAATGCCTACACAGAGATTACTGGCAGGAGAAAAGTAAGGAATAGAACCTGAGCCGCTTGTGTGAGATTAGACTGAAAAATGCTAAAATCTGAGCACAGCACCAAATATAAAGGCAAGGCCCCTTTGCAAAATGGCTTGATGAGAAAATAGCATTTTTCACACTTCAGTCAGAAAGATGACCTCAAAACCTCAGAGCCACAGAAAAAAGCAGACTACAATTTGGTTGGTTTTATTGCTCTTGTCCCTTTCCAACTGCATTCATTGACAGGGCAAGATATTCAAAGAGCACCCACCCACTCACTCTGTCTCCTGCTGCTTGCCTCAGAACTCCTAGGAGTCAAGCTTTGACTACCCACGTGATGCACTTTTAAGTGTCATTTCAACTCTTTAGATGCCAACCTGACTTCCTCCTTAACCCATCAAGTAAAAAGAAGTCCTACAATAAGGCAAGGACTGTAATTGCTAAGTCAGTCTTTTTAAGGCACTTTCAAGAAAACATTTGGGCCTTAAAGATGTAAGAGTAGGGGTGAGGGTTTTGCTGGTTTGGGTCCTTTTTTCCTCCTGTTTTAAATATGCAATTTGTGTACCAAAGATGAAAAATCTATGGGGAGTTGCCCACACCAATTCCCCAACCACTGACTGGACTTGCTAGGTTGCTCTGCACATCATTCAATATACAACTTAAATATAATTCACAAACATTTGGAAACATCTCTTCACAGACAAACTCAATTGGCAACACTAAGAAAGTATCTTCTGCCCAAAAATACCACTTAAAGATAAGACCTTGAACTTGCATATTGATTACAAAGCAAGTATATATACAAAGACAAGAGCAAGCAAACAGTAAGCACTGGGGTCTTGCCATGCTGAGCAGAGCAGTGGCAGCTTTCCATTTCATTTCAGTAGAGCTGTACATGCAGCACAAAACATGTTTGATCTGGTTAACATAAGTTATCTGTGATAGGAAGAATGACAATACTGCCCTGACAAGTATGTCCGCTTCCCGTAGCTGTGCAAGTCTCAGGAGAAGCCTTGTAGAATGAAGCATTTTTATTTGTCTAAGACTCATTCAACCCCCAAACATCAAATTTTTGAGAAAAACTTCAGAAACTTCTTTTTGATCTTATCCAAAAGCTCTGCATGTTTGACCTCTTCTCCTTCCCTCATCTCTATGACAAAAAGGCTCTCTAAACTTATAAAGAGTACACCCTAGGGGAAGAATCAATGCAGCTGGCTTGCAATTAAATCACTCCATGCTACTTAGAGGTTTTATTTTTATGCCTCCATCAGAGTCCTCTGCTCCTCAGGGCAAATCAGTCCAAGGAGGACAAAACACAGGAGAAGCTTATCTATCCCCACTGCATACAACACCTGCAAGTAAGTACTCCAAAGTAACTCCCAAATATCACCAATATTCCTGCTAAAAGGGACAGCTACATTAAAATATAGGTTGCACAAGACTGGATCTGCTGTTTCCACAGTGGAGGAAGCCAGAATGTTGTCTACACTCCTCTCCCAACCATTTGCTCCCAGGCAGAGGGCAGAACTCCTTTCTTACCAAGGGTGCAATGTATCATGTACAGTGGCCTACTCAAAAGCGCTCACAGCTGTTCCTGCATATGGCAGAGAGCTGCTGTCACACAGGAGTCTTTCTCCAGCATGTGAGATGTGTACAGTGAGACAAATGCGTCAAACAGACAAAATGATAGAAGGAAAAAGGGATCTCGGTCCACTCTTACTTTTTTAACTGCACTGAGAGACTCCAAATGCTTTTCAAGCTTTCACATAGCCTGATTTTTCAGCAGTCATATAAAATTAAATATCTTCTTTTCTATGCTGTAGCTCCCTCATCTCTACCATTCATGGCCCTAAGGTAAGATTTGAACTTTCCACCACCGTAACATTAGCTCAATACATTTGTCCACTGCCACACATTCAGCTACAACATAAATGAAAAAACCAGTCTCTTAAGATTTCTTTTTTTTTAACTTTTACAGTCATTGCTTGGCTTGATTCATTAGGAAGGAGATGAAAGCAAGGGCCTGGAGCCTGTTCTCAGGCACCACATAACAGAGCCTGGCAGAGTGCTACCCTGACCAAACCAGATGATGAAAGCCCTCATTTCACCAAGTGCTCACTCCCCATCTTGACTCCTTCCTCACAAGGCATTCAAGCTCCTTCTGGCCTTGTGTCAGCACTTCCCAGTGAAGAAAGAGACCTCTCCCTTCTCTAGAGAGTCAGCTCAGAAGGGCACTAATACACATTCCCTAGGTACCAATGCCTCTCATCAGGCAATAAAGATATACTGCAGCAAGGGTCTCACATTTAGGAACAGTGAGAACTGGATTCACTGCACTTCCTCAGTACACTCTGTGTAACATGCACCGATGCAGGTAGGTGATAATGCCATTCACGCCTGCACATGAACGCGTTGAGCTCTGCTCAAGGTCACAGTGAAGTACATCAGAGCTCAGGACAGCAAAGCATGTGCTTCAGTTTTAACTCCTTACTGCCTGTGCCCCCAGGTCAGCTCCTCCCTCACCCTGCCAGCAGCAAGGAAACACTAAGCAAGAAGAGGCAGCTGCTAGAGAAGCACGGATTATACTCGTGCACACACACACATAAAAGGGAAGGTGGACACCTAGCAACACGAGGGTGTTTCCAAAAGGTTTGGGGGCAGCTCTACAACCACTTTCCCACCTCTCAATTGATCTCCTCTATCCTAATGCAGGTGATGAACAACCAATTGCTGAGGATTTCCCCTCAGTAGCAGGCAGGCAGGGGCTCCAGCACCACCTGAGCTCCAAGCAGATCTCCATCTGAATGGCTAGACAGAGGGATGCCTCCCTGGTGAGCCAGACAAGCACTGGTGCAACACACCAACACAGAGATTATTAATACCCAGCACATTCTGTTTCCATCTCCCACTTGCTTCTAGAACTGGAACCACTTCAGATCCAAGTTCCAGACAAACAAAAAACAACCCCCCATTCTCTCCCCCAGGAAGCAGGCAGTCCAAAATGTTGTGAATCATACTGAGGAGGTTAAGAGCCATAAATCATTGCAAAGAAAATATTTACAAAATACAAACTGTAACTAATAACTATATTTAAAAGGGGATTTGGGTGGGTTACAAAATCTAGGAGACAGACTATGCTCACTCCACTGCTCCTCGATCACTCTTAGATCCAAAAAAAGCCAAAACCAAACACCCAACCTTGTTTGCATCAAGAGCTGAATAACTGTAGAGACAAGGACCAAAAGCTACAACTGAAAGAAGGCAATCTTCCCACCATGAAGCAGAGCACAGATAATGTGGAAAAATTTCTACAACTTTTAGTGAAGAACTTGTGTCAAAACAACCAGTCACCCACCAATGAACAGATACCTGCTGAGGAGGTTTCATGGAAAAACAAGTTCAGAATTAGGCCCTAGACACAAAATCCATCTCCTTCCCCACCACACTCTACTAAAGTAGGTTTGAGGTCCCACACATCCAATAGCAAATGCCATGGGAACATCAGCTGCTTAAACACTTGTTCAGCAGACAGAATACCTTAAGGCTCATTATCATTTTTCAACAGCAGTAAATCTAATTTTACATTTATATCCATGTACTTAGTTTTTCAGAGATGCCAGCAGTGTTGTATTTTAAAAAATTGGGGGCTACTTACTCACACAATTAACTATAATCCAAAATATTCTGTATGCTAAAAAAACAGAACAAAAAATTCCAAGAACAAACCGATTAACTTCTATAAGTCTTTTTACTATTTTCCATACAGTCAGGTGAATTCAGGGTATGTTTTTTAGGACATATATTTTTTGTTAGTTATCTATTTTCAGACATTATGAAGCTTAAGTAATTTTATTCACTTTCCTCATTAAAGACATGCCTCACAGAACACAAGCCTAACATGGCAAAGCACATAGGGAGCTTTGCTATCTGTGCTGCACAATACCTCTGATGTGTCCAATAACATTTTCAACTCAAAAATGGGTATTTCTAACAGTATTCTTTAGTGCTTTTTTCTTTTTCTTTTCCCTCTCAACCAAGTAGTGAAATGGAGCCCTGTGAAAGGCCTGCTCTGCTGTTCAGATTGTCAAACCTTTTGTGAGCAGTTCCAGCCCATCACTCACAAAATAGGGATGCTCTGACA